TACTTGAACGTTCACAATGTGCTGAAAGCCATTTCAATGGACGCGCTCTATGTTACTTATGCCTACATTTTGTGTCACTTGTCATTGTATATCACTGTCTTCACTGCTTCCCCATGCATCCGGAAAATAAACCATCATTTATGCAACCCTTTAGATACCAGCCGTATGATCAGTTTGGTCTAGCACAGCGACCCAAAAATAAGCCGATCTGTATGCTTGTCTCGGGTGTTCGGTGGTGGGAATTCCTTTGATTGGCATATAGAAGCAAACGAACCCAGTCACACGAACACATTATACACTGTTCGGCTTGTCAAGGACTTTAAGTTCTTTCGGGATGTTAATGGCCATTTTGAAATTTGTTAATCTTGAACTGGTCCGGTAGGAGATGAGCACTCTTTTTGTAGGATAACTATTCTTATCATAAACAGCGCCACTGCTTGCCGCTGAATATATCGAAATATTTTGTATATCCACCCTGGATTCTCAAGTAACGTCACACTTGTTATGGTAATGCTTGAAATTTGGAAAACAAGCTGCTCGCCAGCAGATGTTTCCTCTTACTGGCGTTAACTTGGCAGACGATTCTACCCGGCTCATTAATGCATCGTAGATCTAGTGCTTGCTTTTCAGCTGGCATCGAGCTTGAATTTTGTGAGATTTCTGCGAAATAATTCAGATCTTAAATCTCACGCTTATATACGTTGTCCAAATGTTACACTGCCATGGAGTTTTAACACAAGTGTCTGAGCGCAGCGTGTCTGTTTAAATATCAGATGTGACGAATATCGGGTAACCCACTAAGGAACTTTGCTAACCCAGGATGTGGCAGGTTTCCTTCACGTTTACCAGAGGACCCGATCAGAATTTTAGCTTCCGCATGTGGCTACTCACTATATGGAATCTTCTCCGCATGACACTTGGCACACTACCCCACACTTTGCCCATACAGACTTTGCGACATCATAATGAATCCATGACTTGGTTGAATATACCAACCGATTTGCCCACTCATGGAGTAGCCCATTAGGGTGGCGTACCGAGCAAACGGGTGCTACGTAATGCAAGAACCTCTAGGAGTGCAAAAAAAGTCGCATCTGGGTTTACATATGATGCTATTAATGTCAAACTAATTCACCAATTATACAAACCTTGCTAGTAGATACTCGTTCACTTGGACTATAAATGATGAACCAAATGAGCAAACAGTCTCTCACGTGGGACGGTTACACGTGCATAAAGTCAGCCACGAAATGACTGGATGATCTCAAAGCAAAATGAGTGGCGTGGTGAGGATAAAAATACGTCAGTTCATATGCACGCACTAAACACAAAAGTGAAGCAGGGGTTGCAAATAGGGACAGAATAAACATAGGGAATTTCAAATATCAACGTAAGGGATGATAAAAGTGGATATAGTGAGCAGGTGTGTAGATGGTTTCTCGCCTCAAATCCACTAGACGCGAGGCAAGCCTGGAAGATCCCGACCTGTTCCCCTTCTTTTGTCTCCATTGCGGGTATCTGATATTTTATTGGGCAGTGTTTGATGAAGGTTTTCTTGGTTGATGTTTTGGTGCACGGTGAGATGGGTAAAGATTCCTTCCAATGTTCGTTTATCACGCCGAGTTGGTAGTGCACAGAATAAATTCTGTCTCGATATTCGACGCCACGGATTCAGCCTAGCTGACCCACGGCGCTAGCAGTCTTGCTGTTGGAATTTAAGGCTTCAAGGTGTGTTTTTAGGTTCCTTAGAGAAGCTCAAAGCCGCAGATCACTACCTACGAACCATTTTCGAAAGCTTTGTCAAGCGTTTGAATTTTTCATCGGGTGATGACTCCATGATCTGGCACAAAGCTTGATCAGCGAGCTTTTGACGTGTTGGGATGAGAGATGTGTATGTGTTAGTTTATCAAAATACCACTATGAGACGGGTGGCTGACAAATAAAGGATAACACATACTCTGTATTGTGATGAATTCATTGGTGACAATAACTTATGTCCGTCCGTACACAACTCGTATTGCACCATTTCCTGTAGCTCACAACCACCGAGTAACAGGCTTCAAGAAATTCGAATTATACTCAGATTGTATGATGCCACGCTCATGAACTTACTGCAGCTGGTGGCTTCACATGCGCCATACAAAAGCACTGTTGTCTGTTTCTTCAACATGATACTTTACAGGTACTAGAACTATGGTATTAACACGCGGCTGTTCATCAGCACCACGTGGAGCGGAAATTACAGACGTATATGTACTTCTATGATGCGTTGTTGTAGGGTTCCGGGCTTTGATCTAACAACATGATCTGACATCATGCTTCCCCTTCATTGCGGACCATTTGATGGGAACACCCGTGCACTTTCTGGGCGGGCCAGGTACTAGGTAGAATCAATAAGTTATTCATGCACGCACTCAGCTTTTGGATAAGCCTGAAGAACAATGCAGGTGGTCAGTGTTCACCATCACAACAACCAACGTGACCTGATACACAAACGGTTGCACACAGGCGGCTGTTGCTACTCGTTAGGAGGTCACAGAATACAAAAAACAATTCCGTGACCCTGGGTCGTCATCTGGGCTGAGGCGCTTTATCCTAGACCACTGATAGCGCATGGCCAGTGACCGACTTCGGACCATTTGCAGCATTTGCTCCTGAACAGTTCGTTGCTTGAAGGCGATCATGGCCCTCCTGGTTTCAAGCCCCTGAATTTAGTCAGCCACCCGCGTAAGTCGTTTGCGCGGACCGCCAAACGTTGATGTCGGTTGCTCGAGAAACTTTTGGTGGGAGATGAAGCAACCTAGGACGACACTTACCGACCAGAACAGAGTGGTTTCTGAATACCAAGAACAAATGAGCCGCACCGCCCGGTAGAAGTGGCATTTTTATTTTTGAGCACAGATGTCAACCGTCTGGCAGTGCTTGGCCGTTTCCAAAAGGAACTGTGAGTTGGTCAAAGCAAACCTTCCCTACCTTGTTGACCCAAACACAGTGGTAGTGAAGCCTCGAGTGTCACGGCTCCAAGTGCCCCGAAGCCAAAGAATAAGGGTACGTAGTTAGTCGACAGACAACACTCAGAGCGTTACTGTTGCCCTCTAGGATCTCCATTCGGTCCCAATGTTGTGACGTACGCATCTCGTATTCTTTCAAAAGCCACTTAGTGCGCCGGAGCACCCCCGTTGGCAGGTTTCAGGGTGTTTGAATGGTGCAACTGCATTTTTAGGCGACCATGTACATCCCCTAGACGTGGTTAGCAGCATCACCGGAAAGGATCACCCCGGATCGCGCGTGCGCAGCCGATTTTCAGGTGGTAAAAAACCAGTGGACCATCGAGTCAGAAGCAAATCCTGAGTCGATGAGGCGTGGCAACTGCGTCTCTTGGTGAAATCGGTGTGATAGCACTGTGATGAAACAAAATAGAAAATCTGGTGCATGGCACAGTCCAAGCAGGCCGTACGATGGAAATCGTGTCAGCTATGTATGACCATAATACAAGCAAGATAAGTAACGTGTAGGGCTTCCTGACGACATTGCGAATGTGAAAACGGTACAACATAACGTCGCAACCGAGCTTGGTTCTGTCCTTCATAACTCGTGTGGCCAATTTGTCCATGGCAAAAGTCTTCACTTGTACTGCTCGCGTATAAACGCAAACTGTTCGCTTCCTACAAGAACATGCGTAACCGGACGTCTGGTGGTCATGCCATCTGTGATCAGGAAGGTGTAGATCTTGTATCTAGAAGCTCCCAGTTGCTTAAGCTTACCTAAAATACATTGTCGTGTGCGTTCTATAGAGAGCCACTGCTTCTGGAAAACATCGCCATCTACTGCCATATGGAGAAGTAGTAAAATCTAACTGAGGCATTTTACAAACAGGGATGACCGAAACTTCTGGTGGTAAATCTGCATTTGTGTTTGGTATGAACCCCACCTAATTCATCGGCTAAAAATGCCGCAATTAACACAAAGATGTTCCATATTTCAGCAACTTCCTCTTCCTTTGGCCGTCGACTGCCCGGAATCCAGCCGTTCAAAATACATGGAAACGTTATGATTTCGTTCAAGATAAGGTGACCGAGGTATGGTTCCCTTGCCTCCTTAGACAAATAACCCTGCAGAGCAGGTGCTTCGTCTACCGATTTTCATTTGCAAATATGTTCTGGTTACTTGTTTGAATACCTTGGCTTTATGTTGGCTTTTCTGGCTAGCTGTTTCATTTGTACTGCACCCACTCGAAATGCAAATCAGTGATGGTAATTCCGTCACTGGTCACATGCAAAAATGCAGTTATCTGTCATGTATTCTTTGAATGCCCCCTAAAATGCCGTGGTGGCTGTAAACAGGAAAGCCTCTAATTTCTCAACAAATATAACTAAAGCTACTTCCGAAGCAGTGAGGCCCTTTGGCTGCACAGTGCTCTTAGCTTCAAAACCTTTGTGGGCGGAATGAAAAACTTTGCGCATTTGCTGAAACCGAAAAATACCCTAATCTACATTATTTTTTGCAGCTCACCAAGCTTCATTTTCCGCTAAAGCAACGACACCTCTGGCGGAAATATTTTGGCTGGTTACTTTCCTAACATTACCAAGACCCCGGGATGAATATATGTGGCTGAGAAGTTTGGACCAGACTCAATCACCTATCTGGTTATTTCAACAGCAACGCGTAGTATCTTTCAAAACTTCAGTTCCATTGTGCGAATACTGATGCCCGAAGCAATAGCATCCAGGTTCAGAATCGAATGCGCACCAAGAATTAAAGAGGATACTAATTGGAACAGTTCGCGACAAAATGTAAGTAGATTGAAGTCAATTTTGACTGGAGCATGCGTACGACGAAATACAGTGTTTTACGCAGAAATAGTCAATTCCACGCTCAAAAGCTTCGGAGAAGTGAAAATTTCCCGACTTTCGAAAATCCTATTTGGAGTGCATCGTATGCTTGAACTTAAGCGTGCGCGCTGCGGTTAACCTGCGTACCGGATATCGTGTCTCCTGGTCATGTCGGCTGCGGAGGTTGATGATCGCCAGTTGCAAGCGAACGCCCGAAAAATGTTGACCGAATCAAAAAATGCGATTGAAAAACTGCGGGCACAATGTCTGTTGCGGGGCGCAACTGGAATTCATGGTTTTGGTCGAACCTTTAGAATAATGGATGACGACGGGAATCGTAGTTTATCCCGCGATGAATTTAAAAAGGGTTGTCGGGATTACGGCTGCGAGCTAACGCCTGAAGAATTCGATGAGTTGTTCAAGCTGATTGACAAGGACAACAGTGGGACTATTGTGTTCGATGAGCTTCTTTTGGCACTTAGAGTATGAAATATTATAACCGTCATATATCTCATGCAGCCCCCAATGTCCCCATGTCGCATAAAGATAACGGAAGCAGCATTTAAAAAGATGGACAAAACCGGAGATGGAAAAATAACGGTCAGTATAGCTAGAAACATATTTGTTGCTGCGTTGATTTCATTACGTTTTCAGGTTCAGTTTCAAGTGACAACTAGGTAGTTGGATGGGGATTTATCTTGGTTAGCTCCATTACTGTTTACCTGCCTTCAATCGTCCTTGGACATATTTGGAGAATTGAATAAGCACCCTTTGTACTAGGATTCGGCCGGTCTGTCGTTTTGAAGTCACACTAAACTTACTTCAATATGTAGGGCTCACTCCCTGCCATACAGAACAAACATAGCTATCTGAAGTCAGTGTAATGATTGGGCAATCGCCTCCAGAGCTCTGATGCTCTCGTTCGTGCTGGTATCATTGACATCAACTTATCTGTCACGGGTCGGGTTTACAAATGCTGCGGTGAACTCTCTTGGCAACAAAGTACGGAAGTCGTTACCAACCACCGCTAAGATTATCACTGCAGTCTCCCTGGATTGTTCCCAAAGCTGAGCACATCAGAGACATTGATAGACATGGCCTAGTGGCGTGCAAAATAGTGTCCAAGCTGTTTTCTTCAGTTCGCAGCTTCGCCTTTTGTTATCTATAGTGAAAATTCCATTGTCGTTCCTAAATTCGCGTATCAACTGTATTGGGTATGGCCTCCAGTACGTTGTTATTCATCCCCGTTCTTCCGGATAGTCGGCGAGCGGAACTAAGGCAATTACGACGACTGCAAAACGCGTACGAGTTGTGTGACTGGAATTTCTGATCAGGTTAGGTCTTAGTAGGAATGTTAGAAGTACATATTTTCAGGTTGTATTTCACTTTCTAAACGGGTGACCGGTAAAAGGGTTTTCAGGGTAGCGTCCATATATTGACAGTACTGATCCGTCTTATTCTGTGATTCAGCTGAAACCTTTTGTTTGTTTTCCGTGTAACATGATATTGTAAAGCAACTCCTTATACGAAGACCCACTAGGACTAGTGATAGACCTATGAATATACGTGAGTCTGCTTTTAGACTTATTTAATCGACCTGGTACAAGATCCATTATGGACCCTCAGATGTTCGTTTTTGCCTCATTAAGAGAAGATGCTTAACGGGCTACTAAAGTAGTGCTCCAAGTACTCTTTCCTGTCCTACATTTTAATGACCATTAGGCTATATTACATTACATTGCATTAGGTTATATACTGTCGGTCAGGACAAGATATGATAGCGTACTGACGAAATCTTCAGCATTGCAGCAGTGTCAGTGCTAGCCAATGAACTTTAACGTCAGAGCTGGGACAGCCTCGGCGACTCAACGTTACCTTAAGGTTCTAACAGAGTGTGATTTGCTTGCGCTAATCCTTTGGTTCGTTTTTGGAGATGGATAAACGTTATATGAGCCCTCAGGTGACTGGCGTTCTCACTGATCAGGTCTCTCTGAGCAATCTACGTAAATTTCATGACCACCTATCCTTTCTGCCAAGGAGACCCTGAAGATTGAAAGCGATAGACAGAAGGCATTACATGCTGTAAATACGGCTTCTTGCACCTATTTTCAGTGGTCATCCGAATCATCATTATACCCTGCGAGTTCTGAGAGCTTCTTATCCAACTGAACTCAGTACTGCTGAGCTACAGAAATGCTATATTGGTGATCAACTGAATGGCCTTTAATGAAGCAACGTGTTCAATAGGAAAAGCGTGCATGCACAACACCGCGATCATGTTCTATTGGTTTACCAAAAATGAACGACAACCTCGTGTCAAAACTCCACTAGTAGCGCCGCGCCCACACATATGGACATAAAGGGTCACCTGAGGAGAACACCTTAGTGCAGAGGAAAGTAGGACTTTACCTTCAGAATGCCTTGTAGTACAATTTCTCGCAGTACATGGACCGGATACTCTTCGTCCGGTTGCTCCTAGCTGTTCTTCATCGCATAGATATGCCTTGAGGAACTGAGTTTCATCCAGCGTAGCTTTGCGGGATCATTGCAGCACTAATGCCCGAGTAGGGCCTCCATCATAGCTTTTTGAAGAACCTGTGTGGTGCAATATAATTAATCTCCAGTCTTGACAACAGTTTTGACCTCAGAGGGGAGATTATTTGGTGACTAACTTAAGAGATGAGGTTGTTTTGAAGATGTCTGTGGTTTAGTTCACATGCATTCTCCAGAAGAGGAAAACCTTGGCATCCAGTAAAATTTTTCTGAGTGAATAGATGACTGGAGATATTTTGTAACCAAATAAGATTAATCTCAGATAATAGGTTCAATAACTTCAGGATTTAGTCATTCGTCGTTTACTCTTCTAGTCAGTGCTATCAAGTGGGTTGAATTAGTTACGGTTATGTTTTATTGACTTGATTTACCTCTTATTGCATTGTTATTCCTTTCCAACTTGTGGATCTTTGACGAATGTAAACACGGCGACTGGAGCCACAACGAGTTCTGTTCGGCTTTTTACTGGTGAAGATGCTTATTGTAAAAAGTAACGGTCGTTCAGTACGCATAGCTGCCTTACGAGTTGTAGGCAATACAATTGTCTCTTTACACGGGCGCACCCCATTTACTTCCCAGTTCGGTTCTATGTGTTGCTGGGTCAATTGTCTCCCAATCCCCTTAGTGGGGTTAACGGATGCTACTTAATACAAACCACCTATGAACACAGTTGGATATTATAGCAATAGCTGTCTTTAAAGGGCTGTAGTCTGAAGGTACTGTTGTTGGCTTGACGCGCAACTCGAGTTCATGAGTGCTTTGGTTCATTTAAAGTGTGGGGCAGGGGTGGCAACATAATTTGGTTGTCTGGGTTACTGTAGCCGTTCAGTTAGCGGGAGTCACACAGCGGCCTTTCAAATTGCTTACTAGGACAGGCAGCATTTCAATTTGTATGTTCACGTTTGTCTGGTGAGTGAAAGACTGGCATCCTAACTGAAGAGTTTTGAGTGACAAACCACATAAAGCTCTAGTGAGTGATGCATTGGTTCCTCACAAGCCTGAGCCCAAGCATTCTGCCTTTTGAATTGAGGAACCTGCCGTTCATGAGTCCACAACAGTCTTCAAAAAGAATACGCTAGCTAGATACAGAAATAATCGCAAATTCAGTCAAACCGACTTTTGAGATATGCTGTTTTGGTTGCACTATTCTATTTCTTTAATGATATTTTCTTTCTGTCAATCGAGCCAATTTATGCTGAGAATCTATACAGCTGTTTTACCCTTTTCGAAAACTGCGGTCTCCCGGGAGGTGGTTGACACTTAACCGTTTGGCCTGCGACTATTGGTCACACCATTTTTTTGTTGAAATTTCATCGATATGGGCGTCTGAACTATTCACTTTCCCAACCGATGTCTTCAGGGCAGCAACACAAAATCGGTCAGTGTGATAACTGGGAATGCGTGGTACTGTGCTCACACGCTTAGTGTGCAGTCGGTTGTATTGCGGTTGTCTGTGTCGTTTTCTTATGCATCTGAGAACTGATTTAAATTGTGTGTAAAAGAGCCATAAGCTGAGACCGTCAAAGTGAACTGACCGCCAGATGGGTTCAGTTGAGACAGACGTCTTCAACAAAATGAGCTGAAAAGAGATACTCAAAGAGATTACCTGTATACTGGGTCACTTTTGTGTTAGAATATAAATTGAAATCAGACCTGTCTTCCCCTGAGCCAAATATTTTAGTTAAGTTGTAATGGTTAGTGATTTCTAATTTGGGTGTCCTCCTCAAATCGTATGTTCAAATTTTGCTCAATCTCCAAATGTTCCATTGTAAATGTGATAATCACCATTATCTTTTTACAGCGTGCTGCACTTAAGCACATTGCTAGCGGGAATGCCCCTGGTTTGCTTGAGCAACGTTGGATAGAAAAGAGTCCATATGATCATTGTGCGACCATGGTCATTATTTTTCGCCACCGTTTGGGACAGCTTCTTTTGGCGTTCCAGTAGTTCGTACTGACGTTGGTTTTCCAGTATCAGGCCAAATCGATTACTTGGAATGGAATAAGCTGACTACTTCCGGATGCTTCCTTAGACTAAGAATGAAGATGGTCTGCCGCTAGAAAAATTTAAGCATTGAGAAGCTCGTTTCGGTGAAAATAGTCGTTATGAAACTATATGGATGCATTAAAAAATATTGAGCATAAATCTGGGCGTCTTTTTATTAGATCGGACTCTAGGACCCTTTGCAAGTGTTGTGAAACTTGAACCCAAGATATGTTGCAACTCACGCGTTGATTCTGGGAGTTATATGTACTACCACACTATGACAGTCAACGATATTTATTGACAAGCTATCTGAGCTATCATTTATTCAGCTCGAAGGTTCATTCCACAAGATTGTTTTGTTTATCTGGTCAGTGCCCAACGAATTCCAATGATCATAACCTGCAACATAATAAGCATCCCTGAATTGCCGGTTACGAAACGCAGGTTCACATTCGGAGTGTGTCGGAACAGTTAACTTCATGCCATATACGCTGTGCGTGACGTGTCAAATTCGATCGCACTGGCATTTATCGGGTCTGCTTTGTGTGAACTTTGAGATTACGACAGTGTTTAGTTGAAGTCGAACAAAAGCACTGTCGTGAGAGTAACTTTTGCAGTCGCAGACAGTTGGACATAGTTGTTGAAAACAAAAAAACTGGAAAAGCAACGATGAAAAGTAGCGCTTCCTTGTAAGTTCCGTGGTTGTCATTCAGAGGGTTTTGCCAGGTGTTTCATTTCTTTGTGCTTCTTATTCCTACATCTTTTGCACTTTTGTACCGAGTTGTTTCGGAACCATATTTAATTTTGTTAGAGAGGTCTGGTCGTCACGTTGGATCGTCTTTGTATTTTGCCTCACGGGCAGCACATGCTCACATCCATTTGTGAGTTTCTATAGGGGAGTATCTCAATCTGGTTCACTAATGACGAAGTCGATTCGTAAACCGATCACTTGTGAGCATTTCGGACTGGATTAGTTCACACGGGTCATTATGTCGAAGAAGCCATGCCTAAACTGCATGTTCTCCCGAATTATAACTCTGTCTTGCTGTACACCAATTTGTCCGCGATGGGAACTGAAGTCTTCAGCTGCCAGTTGTGGCGATATGCATCCTGTTAATGTTTTGATCAGACTCGTTTTTGGTACCTCGAACTTTGCTCACTCTCTGGACAGCATTTTTAAAAGAATTCCCTAGGGAATGTCATGATATGCAATATGGATTCAGTGGTTCCGGCTCGTCAGTTTGTTGTGACACTTCTGCTGATCCTAGAACATAACCAAAACGCTCAAGTAGGTGACGTTTTGCATTGGAAAACTGACACCTGTGGAGGTACAGAGGCGCGGTACGAAGCGATGCGAATGGGCACGGTCATTTAGTGGTGGGGGCTAGTGGGGCAAACGTCAAAAATGATGGGATCTTGGTTTTCTGGATTTTCATTGAGGATTGCGTCCTCTGAGTGAAGTCGCGCGAAGAGTTAGTGAACCAAACTTCCGCAACAGGGGCTGCGTGAGCAACAGTTCTGTTGGAGGAAACCGATCAGGCCGGGTCACCTTTCTGACATTCATTTTCGACCATACCAAGCCATCTGATGGCCGTAGCAGAGTCATGTTACTGTTGAAGACCATCGACTTAGTAAGTAGCTGTTATCACTTAAGCAGGGAAAACAGTTATGAACTCTTCACTGAGTGGACTATGAAGGACGGTTAAATTTACCTAGTACCTGTAGGTCGAACGAGCCGTCGTAAAACTTCTGGTTTCTAAAAATAGGCTATCGGGGCGAAACAGTCTTAGCGTTTACCAAATCATATCCAGAAACTTCACAATTGACCTGTAACGAAACTGGTAGAATTCGACCTGGCTTCTGTGTCAAATCCACACCGAGAACCGCCAGTTTGAAAGCTTTCTATATGTAATAACCGGTTTTTATGTATGCAAAACCGTCGCACCTAGATATAGAAACAAGACTGACAAATCCTTCAGAAGCAGCGAAAACTTTAATGACTGATGTTGGCCTTGTTGATCACTCAAGTCATTTAGGAACCAGATAAACGACATTACTTGAGTTGATATGTACCCCATCTGTTGCACAACATGTATACGGCAGGTTAGGATACACAGGTGCGTGAATCGGTGAAAGAACGTGTCCCATCTTTCAAAATTTTAACATGATTGAAATCCTACCCCATTCTGAAGTTGTTAAACGTTAGTTCTGAACAACTCAGGTCTCACTGACAATGAAATTCATTGTGTTCCAGGGGCATTTTTTACTTATCTGACATGACGCAGTATATTGATTTTTTCGACACACTGGGACACATGAATTTCCTAGTTATATGTTACCGTTATTCCTTGTTTTTTCCTCTTTCAGGTGGATGACTTGCGCCAAGCGTATCAGGTGAAACACCATCCGAAATACCAGAACAACGAAATGTCCCAAGAGGCCATCCTTAAGCAATATTTGAATACGTTCGAGCAGGGTGGTATCACAGATGGTGTTGTAAGTAACTTCAGCTACTTTTTGTGAGGCTTGCTTTTTGTTGAACCCTTTCATGCCTGTCGTTTGAGGCCAAAAGTCTTAATTGGCCAGACGAAACGATAATTGAGGAAAAGACACGATTTCTATCTAGAGTCACGTAAATTTTTTGTGGGATAAACTTAAATTCCTGGCTTTGCATAACGCGCGTGACGTCCTCTTAAAATACGTGAAAGGAAGCTTTCCACACACATTTTTTATTAGGATCATCCTTTCCTCCCCCGTGAATATGTCTCAACATTTGTGATAGCCGCGGGAAGGTAAATCCAAGAAACTAACGCCAACCGAAGAGACCATTGGATTATAGCGGTCCTAAGTAGATAAGCGGGAGTAGCTACTGTGTGAGCTTCGTGCCTTCAAGATTCCAAGTCATGCTTTGGTGCATTTCAAATCCTCTATATACCTTCGAAACTCAAAATTGGAGATTCCGAGTCTGGCAGACAGGTTCACGTAAGTGTAAGCGATGCCTGTTAGTATGACAGAGGGAGCTGACGCACGAATTATCAAGTGCGAAGCATGCTTATCAGCTCACTTCGTTTACAGTATCGCAAGTGAATTCCGCAGGAGCTAAATGGCCGCAAAACTTAGACCATAAACAACTTCAAACATCTAATCACTGTTGGCTTTGTAGGTTGCTGCAGCATGACCGAAACTAAATGGTGCCAGTGAGTTTCAAGGTACGAGTCAACTTCCGCTAGAAGTATATGACGCTTACAACTAATCTGGTTGAGATATGTAATGCTCATTCTAAATTATCTTGCGCTAAAAAGGCGGCGTTTTCTTGTTGGCCCCGAACTCACGGGGGAGAAAACGCTGCACGACGACACGAAAAGAAAGCGGGTTTATTCAGAATGTGCTTTGGACCATCCTGAATGGCAGCTATGTGATCATCCCTGATTGGGAAGCATAAAATTGAGATTACGCTGACACTTACTAGTCAGAGTTTGTGTTTCGTTGAGTTCTCAGCTATACACGTGTTAACTGAAGATTGAAGTGGTCCGTTTGATATGAAAACAAATACTCTTGGCTCCTGTGGTTTGATTTTCTGCTGAAATTAGTAATTTTATTGCAAACGTTTCGTTACCAGTCTCGGTAAGATCATCTGTGCGTTGGTTGTCGTCGAACCGCTAATTCGATCACCAGAGGTGGTCAGTTATCGCATTACGTGTTCCATCTAGCTGTAAAGATAGATATATTACTATCAAATTAAACGTCTGTGCCTAATCAGGCAAACCGAATGAATCGTACGTTATGTGTACAAGTGAAGCCGACGTCCACATGACTTTATGGAAAACAGTGTAAAGCCTGAATCAAAAAGTCAGACGATCGTATTCTAATGCATCCACTTAATAAATCCGGCTCGGAATGAGGCGCGCAGAAAATTGCTTCACGAGACCGTTAGCTCACTTGCAGGAGCATTGCCTATGAAACGGCTACATAGTTTCAACCGTACATTTAGGCAATGGAAGGTAGCAAACAAATATATTATTGACCATCGCCGTTTCATCATTTTCAAATAGCTGCTTGTGATCAGATAAAGCTTCTACGTCAAGTTTTTTGTGAACTTTTTCAATGAGGCTTGCGATCAATTAATTAATTGAAAAGCTTCTTATTTCCAGCTATGTGCATCCTGATAGCTTGAAACTAACTTCGTTAGGTACCCCCCCCCCCCGGGAATTGGGTTCAGCACTTTCTATTGGTGTGCTGTTTTCAATGAGGGTAGCTGTCATTGAACTCCCTCCAAGTTTCACACAGTTGAACATATTTTCTGGTTCGCTCTTGTAATGGTTCATCAGTTGACTACCTCAAGCGCATTGAAGTTGGTGTATCAGTACCACGTCTCACCCACCCAGACTACAACTTACTTCCAACTTTCTAGTTTTTGGTAACTAGTTAACTTTCAAATACCATCGACAGACTTCCAGGTTTTCACTGTTATCATTCCCTGAAAGGTCACCTGGGAAGAGTTCCTCAACTACTATAGCGGCATCAGTGCATCAATCGATTCGGATGCATACTATGATCTGATGATTCGTCAAGCGTTCAAACTATGATTGATCCAACGCTCGACTTGTCAACGATCCATCATCTGGATAATTCGTCATTTTCTAGCCCTTGCGAATGGCTTTTTAGTTATAAACAGCTTGTTTTCAAGACGTCCATTTCCTTCACTTTCCTCTGCCGTGCTTTACATATTTGACCATATATATGACATCTTGTGTTGCGCTATTTTTGCAATCAGGTGTTGGATCCTATTTTGTGTCTATTTTGTCAATGTACAAAACTATTCACATGGTAAATTTGAACAAAATAAAATAGATTTATTGGACTCATTACTTATACATCCTACGAAATGGGTGGCAAACTCATCATCGTCGACAGCATGACAGATGCTTCGCTATCGTAGTACTAATTCATGGTTGTACGTGGGTTGGGCTGGTGCCAGGGCGCCCATTCGTAGAAAAAAGGATGATAATGATCTCTGAACAGAGCCTGACCGCAAGGCAGCGGTGTTTGGTGGGAAATGCAAGCGCATTTCAATTTTTAAAGAACAGGTCACCACACATGTTCCGGCCCCCAACATGGAGGACCAGGAGACCTCTAACCATTTACCAACCTGACAGAGAGACTCAGTGAATGTTGTACGGACACCCCCCAGTATAGTTCAGTGAGCCACGGGGGTGCACAAACCGTCACACTACTGTAAGTTTGAGTCTCTTCGTGACGAAGAACTCAGCTCGCCTGTCTAAACATGAAGTCTATTCAGGGCATCCGATCTACTGATTAGCGTAATTTCCTACTGGGTATCCTATGTCGCTGAACCCTAATGGTACTGGTCGAAAACCAGCGCTCGGTTGGAGTATTGGGTAACTTCAAAGAGAAATTGCGTTGACCACATGTGAATGATGAGAGTTTTTTGCATTCGGGGTCAATGTACACGCCTCTGAATGTCTGAATTGTGGTAGATTCCAGAATATATCCATCCTGCGGGGTCAATGGGAAAGTGAAATGGATGGGTGCGTGATCGTCTGCTCCCTGCGCACTGATCGTGGAAATACAAAAGGTGGAAGCTCAAAAACTGAGCGGTCGTAGTCAATAAAATTCAGTTGATTCGTCCCTGGAAGCTCTTTCTGAATTCGGGTGATGAACTCACTGTCATAAAAAAGTTGGGTGCGGTGCTGTGGTTTCATCGAGTAAGCTCAATCTGTCAAAGTTAGTGTTAGTTATACCGAGTAAGGAGAGTTATGTTCGTAGTGCACTACTCATAAGGTTGCTGAAAATTTCCCAACCTTATGAGCAGCGTATTACGAATATACATGTAACGCGATACATCTAATATTGTAGCAAGTTAAACATGAGGTGGCCTGGTGTAGCACATTCAGCTGCCTAAAAAACACCACAAACGAGAGATTCAGCTGGGTTCCAGGTGAGTCTCTCTCAAAACCAAATTTGTTTTAAACTGTGGAGTTATGTTGGTCGCAAGCAAGATTCCTTAGCTTAAATCATGTCTCGGCCAAAGTTCACAGGATCCCTCCTCCTTACACAACTATCGTAACACTAGCTCATCCACACAGACGGTTGATAAGTGCAAATGACGTTCAAGAGCGATCATCACGTGAACAAGAAGCACTAGACCCTAAGCTGGACCCAAATCTATTTAGATTTTCACATCAACTTAACACTTGGTTATCCACCCTAACATACAAAATCCATTGGCCGACACCTAACACAGATTTAACCTGACTTAGCTGATTGGTTCTCGTCACGCCTTAAATCTCGACCAATCTCGTAACCTAGTAACGTGGCCTGACGAAAAGCGAAACGTTTCCCAGTAATAAATCTACCGATTGTTACAAAACTTTTTTGAAAACGATGTCTCGGTATGACTTTTAAATTGAGTCGGGTTCAAAACAGAAGCGTCTATGTAAGATCCAGGACACCCAAGGCAACTACAGGAGACGCACTTTCCGAGTTTCACTCCAAACGCTCGGTTATCCGTACATCCGAGGTTATCAAGGAATCCAAAGTATGTACTCGCAGTTCGAGCGTACAGCTCCGGGTAGGAAAATATACTGGTTCGTTTGTCAATTGGAAAATCCAACTCGCCGTTTATTCAGTGAAAACGAATGAGCGGTGCACACTTGGCAGATGGACGATAGAAGTATCTACATTGCTAGACCCTGCTTCGAGTGGCAATAAGCGACATGGATGGGCAGTGCTGATCGGCTGTCTGATTTTTCATGAGAATCAGTCCATGGTAGACGGGTTTCTAAGACGTGGCGAAGGTGTCAGTCGCGTACACTGCCCTGGCCAACAAGTCAATAACCAGACAGAGTCTTAACTTTGTAATGTACTACTCGCAAGATTGCCGAAAATCCGTCGACAGCCGACGACCGGTTTCGCCCTTTTTGGGGCTCATCAGGTAGGCGCAGTCCCCGGGTTTCTGTCAACCTTATGTTCTACTTGAAACCAAATTGCACGAAATTAGCGAATATACACTCATTTGCCAAACTAATTGGTCTCTCGAAAAACCAAATTAGTTTGCAAATGAGTGTATATTCGCCAAACAGAGTTTCTTCGATCCGAATTCACCCATTTTGCACGTGCTGTTTGTTCTATTCCAACAAGAGAATGTGTGTAGCATATGTGGTTTCCGACTAGCTCAGTGCCCGGACAGTAATGTGGGTGTTGGGCGATGCGCTGCACGCAAAAACCCATTGAAGCTACATGAGTAATGAGGGCAAATGCAGAAACGGCTAAATTGTAGGTCATAGTTTTCGTCCAGTCCGTAGGTCTAGTCTTTCTCCTTACCTACTGTCTCTTGGACAGCGGCACGAAGATTAAATCTTCAAAGCATGAATAGGTTGTTTTACGTTTTGCTTGTCGCCAATGGTCTTTGCATAGGGAAGAATGCCGGCTTAGTCACGCACGCATTGGACGCGATTGTATTCATATATTATATGCCAGGCACTCCCCGAACTTAAAAGGGCGAATAATTTACTATTATAACGGACGAGGGTGTACTTCACATGCATGGTTAGACGGCTGACGATTAGTTTTATGTTTTAGCTCCATGTAACAAACGCGGTCAGTGGGTCTGTGATGCAATTGTTCCCTAGACAACAGTGACAAGGCCTGGCAGAACGAATAGGGCGAGATGGCTCAAGTGGTTAGAGCGCGAATTTACTGACCGGAAGGTCCGTGGTTCGAACCCCACCTCCGCCACTCGACTTCCCCTGTCTAGGCTTGGGCAACCTGACAGTATCCCAGCCCTCGTGCTTCCTTCGGGTGGCATGGCAGCTAGGCACCGAAAGGGCGCTACAGCTGAACGATTTTGAGAAAGAACGATACAGACACTGTTCCATAGTTCATCTATTCGTTACAACTCGATACAGCAAGCCATGAGCGGACATTGAGCGTAATGGTTTTTCGGTCTGTCCAGGTTTTGCGTGCAGAACTGGATGAGATACCACGGATAAGATGTGACTTTGTTTCTTAGCTGATAGCTGACGCAAAAAACTGGTCAACTCTGTTATAGGAAGAACTCACAAACGTCAGTGGCACTATGCTAGGTAATCACAGTACCCATTAACTGCTCGTGGCTGAATGATCGTGTTCAAACCACTAGCCGGAAGGTCGAGGTTTCCAACTCAGCCGACTGTCACTGATGGTGTCTCTTCTTATGGTGACGAAATGGTTGCAAGTCAGTTTCCAAGCTCGGTAAACAGATCAACAGGCGACTGATCATCAACAACAAAAAAATTCACCCAAACTACCAATACTTCAACAAATTAACCTCTTTTAGTTATGTAAGACGCGCAATGTTGATGACTTCCAACAAGGGCGAAACAGCGGATTCTTGGCTTTTCAGCATAGATTGGACATGACGAAGTAATCTCGTTTGGAACTTCCCTAATCTTCTTCCATCAACAACGACCGTCAGTGCCTTCCTCGTTTTAGGACGTTCAGGCGGACTCTGAAATACCGCTCTTACAAATTAATAAGATGGGTTAATAAAGAACCCCAATATGTCTACAAACGTGACCATGGTCGGGGCCGAGTTGCTGATCTAATTAACTTCGTTTCTGTTCATGATAAACCATCCAAATAATCAGCTGTTCGGATCATCAGGATATAAGTTCAAACAATCCCGTTATTTGTCCTCCTAGCATGGTGCACTCGGCAAAGGGTTGCTTAGGGCTTACTGAGAACGTATATCAAGAATTAACTCGCAAACTTTCGAGGCTTATGGGATTATCATAGTCCTAAATTTTTAGGCGATTAAAAGTGCACACAGGAAATGTTTAGGACTGACTGTCACCTGGGCTCGATCAAGCCACGCGATTTTTCCTAATGCTGCATCAGTTAGAATCCATAAAATTATGACAGTACAAGTATTGAGTGAGTTTTACACGACTAAAACTTGCGAAATAGGATGCAGGACGGCTTACTGAACTGTGTCGTTCAACCAGTTCATGGTGACTGGAAGGCCCAGTTGTGGAATTTTCGTTGCGCGCAACGCTGCCCAATTAAAAGTCATCATTTGCGCAAAAAACGATAAGATAATCCAACCTTCTCTTCGTTAGACAGCACCTTGTGATGACCTGAAACCCACGATTCAAATGCGGTTTTATTTCGGTGATTGCGGGCGTGACTTTGAGGTACAACTCACACACAAATCCGGTTGTGTTACTGTAAGAAGTAGGTTTAGTAACTGATACGTCACTTTCGTCCGAAGTCTAATGTCAGTCAATATACGTTTCACCCGAGATGCAGGTGAATTGATTGTCGACGGGCAGAACTGCTCTGGCTTTTAGATATCCGGCTATAGGTGTGCGCTTGCATGTGAACCTATCCTTGGCTGTAAGCATAGGATAGCCCCGCTTCTTTCATTTTGCTCCAAAGCAGAACCCATTTGATGGAATAAGTCGGTTCTCTCCAAACTGACCCGTTATTCTTGCTGGTTCTGTGTTGTCTGCTGTGAATCTACTAAGGTAGGTGGCTAATATCAGTGCATTCTTAATGAGTTCCCGGTTTCCCGGCCGTGCTTCTGGTTTACACAGCCATCTTACAATGCGGAGTAAGGTACGGACTTGTGAACGAATAAAAGCAGTTGCCTTAACAACTGGTCACTGTACTATGATTAGAATCTGTCTGAATGTTTCTTCTGCAGTTCACGGTGGGTAGCCGGGTTTGTTGGTGAGTACGCAGACAAGATTTGGCCAGTAATCCTAATAGGATTTTTTGTCTGGAAGAACCAACTGGTGTGCGCTGTAAGGTTTATGATGCTACTGAACCGATTGTGTTTCTCAGGAATCTGTCAACTTTCT